CAAGAATCCGAACTTCTGCCGCTCCTGTTCGCCCCTGTCTTTGACCCTAGTTTGTTTGGGGGCGCTAGCGGATTGGGTTGAGTTCTGGGACTTCTCCGAGTGTTGATTAAAGCTTCACCCAGGGGCTTACCCTCTAAGGCCGAGTTACCCTTGTCTGGAGCCCTGAGATCCGTGGCCGGAAAATCCAGATCTTGATTTTGCCTGGGCCATTGCGGACGCTGTGCCTGGACTGCCGGCCCAAGCTATGGCTCATTCAATCTTGCAAAAACAGAGGGAAAACCTGGTCTGGATTTCCAGTCACCCTTGGCTCGAGAGGGCAGGGCTGTTATTTGACTCTGTCCTTTATACTTGGGAGTAGGAGGACTCTCTGGCCCATCCTCTGTCATGCAGCATGTCCATCCATAATACATAATAACTCCTGTTTCTATGACAATATTTACTGAGCGCTTACTGTGTGCTAGGCATCATGCTAAGGTACTAGTCACCTGCATTATCTCCCAGAATCCTCTAGGAGACACAGGACTATTGGAAGGTCACTTGCCAAGGTTGTAAAAGGCAAAACTGAGATTTGAAGCCAGGACTTTCTGCTTTTAGAAAAAGCAGAAGGGGGCTGGCTGATTCTTTCAGTTGGTTACAGCCCAGCTTTAAAACTCCAAGGTCAGGGGTTCCAGCAGCCAAAAAAAAAAAAAGAGAGAGAGAGAGAGAGAGAGAGATCCTCAAAAGGATCTAGAACATTCCTCATTCTTTCCCCTGGTTGAAGTTCCCACAAAAGGCCTTTTGAAACTCTCACCCAAATCTTTCTACCTGCAGCCCTACCCAGTCTCCTTAATTCCATGTCAGCCTGTGGACACAGAACTGGCTGAAAGGTGGTGCCCCATGTCCCTATTGCTCTCCTGAGACCCTGTAATTCCCTATTCCTGTAGTGACTTCTTCCATGCTTGACTAATGGAACACGACCTTCTTCAAATGTGGACATATAAAGTTGTTTGTTTTGTTTTGTTTTAGTGGCTGGCAGTACAGGGATCGAACCCTGGACCTTGGTGTTAAAGTTAATAGCTATCAATTATTATCATTGCCATGATCGAAAAAGACCACCTGGCTACCACCTGGTTCTCGTTTTAAATCTCAGTTTCGCGGGCTGGCTGGTTAGCTCAGTTGGTTAGACTGTGGTGCAGATAATACCGAGGTCTGAAGTTCAATCCCTGTATTAGCTATCCTCCCCCCAAAAATCTCAGTGTTGAGCCACCCTAACTACCTACCATCCCCCAACTCTGTGAATCTGGCTGGGAGTGGAGTAGATCTGTTGGGGTGTAAATCATTCATTCATTCACTCTTTCATGCTTGAGCCCACTAAGCTCATTCCTGCATCCAGGCCTTTTCCATTGCGGTTTTCTGGACCTAGACTGCTCTCTATACAGATCCTCCTGTGACTGGCTTATCTTTCTGCAACCAGCTTAAAAGTCACTTCCCCAGAACAGCCCTCTATGACCCTATGTCCCCCTCCCAGCCATTGTCCATCACATCACCTTGTTAATTTTATTCATAACACTTACTACTGTGCAAAATTATCTCGCTCACTTCTACATCTTTTAGTATCTGTTTCTCTCTCTAAATGCTAGTCCCAAAAGGGCAGGAACTTTTATTTGTCTTATTCACTGCTGTCTCCAGTGCCTATGATAGGACCTGGCATACAGTAGGTGCTCACAACTTTTTTNTCCCCAGAACAGCCCTCTATGACCCTATGTCCCCCTCCCAGCCATTGTCCATCACATCACCTTGTTAATTTTATTCATAACACTTACTACTGTGCGAAATTATCTCGCTCACTTCTACATCTTTTAGTATCTGTTTCTCTCTCTAAATGCTAGTCCCAAAAGGGCAGGAACTTTTATTTGTCTTATTCACTGCTGTCTCCAGTGCCTATGATAGGACCTGGCATACAGTAGGTGCTCACAACTTTTTTCTTGGCAGCTGGTAGGTGCAGGGATTGAACTCTGGACCTTGGTGTTACCAGCACCCTGCTCTAATCAACTGAGCTAACTCGCCAGCCCTCAACACATTTTTTAAAAATCACTTTTCTGATAACAACGACAATTTTTCAAATAAAGAGGCCATCCCTATATGGGGCCCCTCCTGTGTACTTGGTCCTGTGCTGGTCTCTGGGGATCGGGAGAGGAATCACCCTGGAACTCTTTCCCTCAAGGAGCTCAGCCCTCAGCGCACGGATGCTAATGAGGGGCCTGTCCCTGTCTACCCCAGGGAGCTGACTGGCCTTGCGGGCAGCGGCTGCAGGTCCACGCTGACCTCCATCCTTTTTGCCCCTTTGCCTTGCAGAAGGATTTGCCCCTTCCGCGGAAAAGCAGCAGGTGAGCCTGGGGGAGAGACACGCGGGGCTGGTCGCCCCTTCTACCGCCCGTCTGGGGGCGCCAGGCGCGCGCGCGGGCGGGGCCGGGCGA